ACGGGATGGATACGGGATGGATGGATGGATACAGGATGGATACAGGATGGATAAATGAATGAATTCTAGGGCATAATTTCCACAAAGAACATTTCTTGGAATTAGTTCAATGAGCTATGTGGGGTCCGATGGTGTCATCGAATTTCGGTGATTTGAATAGCAAACCACCCTTGCTCTTCCACCGTGATTGGCCCCATTAATTTTTATCCTTCGACCACCAAGGCATTCAGCAACACCCAAGGCTCTCTCTCACCATGCCAGTCTTGTTTATTTTCCCCAATTTTACCAATTTACCTCTTACATTTCCACCATTTCATCTCCTACTGAATCATAAACGTTGGCTTATTCCACCGTCTGGCCACTCGTCTAATCCTCCCAAGGAAACTGCGAAAGTGGGAATGACAAGCACGGAAGATGTTAGTCCGACTCGGGTAGCTGGGCGCAGCAGGCGAGAAGTAGGTAAACAAAAGTTTCCAAAAATCGTCTGCTTCTGGATACCTAAAAATCCAACAACAATAGCAGACATCAGTAGGGTAGCAATAAACTTTAAAGCAGATGTAACTATCTGCTCGTGGAACTCACTGTGGAATGTGGAGGGGCTGTCAGACCACCATCGCCAAGAGGAATACGAACCACTGTCAAGTAAAAGCAAGAAAACAAGGAGGTGGATGGAAATAGCGGTTAGAAGCGTCCGAAGGTGGTAAGTAGACGCCTGACAATGAAAAAGATGGTCTAAGGAAACCTATTGTGGACAACAATGCTTCGGCTTTTGTGCCTTGGATGACAGACAGGCATGAAGTAGTCAAATGACCCAAAGATTTGCCACCCTAACGTGGGATAACTCGGCACAAAAAAAGAGAAAAGGACATCCACTCACTTGTGCTTGAACTTGTTGTACTAGCTACCTCGGTGGAGAATAGCAGCAATGCATTCGATGCGAGTTTCGTGGAATGTGCAGCTCGTGGTGTGTACTAATTGATAAGAAAAAAATACATATTTGAAAATCAGCTGACGGTGGCGGGGCAGCAGTTCCACGTGCTACGGTTTGTAAAGTAAAATTGCCTGCATTTTTAATTTTAATTCAGAGAATTCGGATAGCAGCTGGCAAGTTCTTGACTTTGAAACAAATATCTTTGATGGAAATGGTGTGAGACGTGTTCTTCATGGATGTAGCAAAGATGCGGCCTCTCATTCTTTGTCAAGGTGAAGGAAGATGTAACAGCACCCGGACCTGAGGTAGCATTCCAGATCTCATCAATGGTCACCTAGACGGTCTGGTTGTCACGAGGAAACTAAGGTAAAATTTTTGTCGACCTCGCGTGCTGTCCAATAAATCCAGAATATTTGTCACGAAAATTGCAGTCCATTCCATAGAATGCGTTTCCTTAAAACAGTGTATTCTTTTGCATGTTTTCCTATTTCAGCGCACTCTTCCATTTCGTTGTGCGGAGGTCCATTCGCAGTTGTTGTTGATTTGTGACCAGAGGTGACTAGTTTTTATTAACCTCCTTGCAGATCATCGCCACACAACTTCAAGTCTGACTGAAGGTCATTAAGGCACGGAAAAGTAGAGGGAATCGATGTCCTAGGTGCTTCTGTCTGCGATTTGAATCCATTCATTTCCTTCCGAGAAGGCTATTTGAACTCCAAAATTATGGACCAAGAGTTTAGGCCTCGATTTTGGTGAAGGGTCTGCTTTAGATTCCACTATTGTGCCTTTGCTGGGCGGGCTGGTCTCTAGGGCATGCCAGTAGCCCGAAGCCCTTCTATAGGTCAAGTATTCTGTCTTCTCTCCTCTCCAGAGAGGGCTCGAAGCGCTACATAGGAAGGAATGGAAAGCAAAGCCGCACCTAATGGACATCTCTCTTGACTTCCACTGCTGCGAGATATGCTCCAACGGAACGGAAGAAGTGCTTATGCTACGGATGGGAGCATCGGTGACGACTTTTAGCAGAAGGCTTGAAAATGGCGTCTGCCTTTGACAACTACCCCAATCCCAGGTTCTGCAGGAAAACCATTAACACCTGAAGCGATGCCAGCCGTGAACCATCAGGCAAAGTTTGTTAGGAAACTGTCTACCTTTCCTGAATAAAGACATCAATTATGTAAACTCGCGTTCCCCTCCCCTAACACTTCCCTTCTAGGTGGATAGAGTCCGGATGGATATGGCTGGGCATCGCTAACGAGTAAACAACGTAACAAGGAAGAACAGACGAAATAAAATCCAACCTCCTCTTCTTTATGTAACTCTGCTTCTAGGCCAGGGTCCCCTTCAACTAGCCGTAGACACACGAGACAGCCACCACAGACCCCAGATGCAGATCACTTGCCAGGAGGAATCGATGATGTTGCAGTCAAGTATCGTCTCAGTCGCAAGGAGATTTGCTGACTGGCACGGTTTGGCAGCGGGTGATTTTCCCTCCGGCAGTGGGGGGGCGCTGTACTGCAACTCTTTGCATTGACTTTGACCCGACTGAACTCCAGTAGAGGCTAGTACGGTGTAAACCATCCAGTTGACCTGCTCTGGAGTCCTATTCACAACTGAGTACACCCTGCTGCCTGGTAGAATTGGCCAGGAGACAGGGAACTCGGAGCGTGAATAAACTTAAACCAGAAAAGCGAAGTCAAGACACATTTAATGTTATTTAAATTTATTTATTTGTTTATTATTTATTAAAAATTATGTGCTTTTTAAGTCATCCTTTAATGAGAAAGAAGTCAGTTCTGATTGTTCATTGGAGCCATATTATTGAAGCCTCTGTTGTTCCCGGAAACATTGAACCAGTTCGCGTTGAGGCAGTAACCAGCGCAGCCGAAACTCTCGCAACAACCCGGCGTGGGACAGTAGCTGCACGCTCTGACGTTGCCATGATTGATTTCAGGCCTGAATGGCAGTCTGTAGACGTTCCTTGTGCCTGGAATGCAACCAAATTTGATCAAATTTACTTGACCTCCACCGATTACCGATCATGGTTGCGTTGAAGAGCATAAGCGGCATTTCAGGTGTACCATCCACTTCGGCGAATGCGTGGACGTGAATGGATATTAAACAGAGGAATGTTATGGATCCAAAGAACCGAATTAGATGTGAACGAGTTCTCACACACACTTGGAGCTCAATACATTCTCCTCCTCCTCCTCCTCCTCCTCCTATCACAGTCCACTTCAGCTAAAATGTTTTAATCTAGAGTGGCGGTTGGTGAGTCAAGTGGACACCTCACCGGATGGAGGGGTAGCAAAGAGAAGGGTAGAGGGTGGGGAGGGGGGAATAAGACACAAGAAAAGTTGTTTACTCACCTTGTCTAAGGCAAGCATCGCAAAGCAGCCTGACAGCTGGAAGAACGGCTCTAGGCATGATGTCACTTGTTTCGCGTGGAAAGTGTTCTCGCCCTTTAAATACGCCATCCTCCAATAAATAAATTTTTTGTTGCGATCAAGTCAACAGACCTTAACAAGTGCAGTTTCTAGGCCCCATCCATGTTAAAGGATGCGTATCATGAGGTCAAAATAAGGTACTTTGTGAAAAAGATCATTCAAATTTTTTGTCATGTTGAAATTTAAATTAAATGGAATGACAAGAATTAGCACCTTGATCAACACTTTTTTCCATTAATCCATCCTGTGGTGGTGAAGCCGTGGTGAGGTCTTCCCTGCTGGAGACAAGGTGTTGGTGTAGAGGTTGGAGGAAACTTTGTCTCCTTGTTGACCGAATCTTTCATATCCTCGTCACTGTGTGGCCAGTAGGCAAAACTTCAACTCGAAGATGACCGTTGTGGAAGAAGTGAACTTCCAAGCGGTGACGCGTGTGAAGCCACCGCGGAGGAATGGTGGCTAACTGTTCTAAGCGAAGCGCATTGTCTATGCCAACGTTGTGCTGGACATTGCCGCCTTCTAGTCTTCGGCAGTGGTATGAATGAAGGGGTCCGTGACGGCGTCCCCAACCCGTAGTGCTGCCACCGCAGCGCCGATAGCATAGCAGTTTGTGGAAAGAACGAGTGGCGGGCTGCAAAAAAAAACAATTCCGAGGATTTCTTCTTCCACTTGTCCGTAATGCCTTTCAACTGGAACAAGAGTCCACGAAGCGTGCATAACAGTCTTCCCACTCAGTCCCCTTTGAAATCTAAGCAGGGCATGTTGTAACTCGGCTTTGATGTCGTAAGCGTAAACGTGCGTCTGCAGCTACAAGAATCGGTAGCCCTGGCATATAATAAAGTGGAAGAGGTTCGAGATTATCGTCACTTTCATCTGACTAAATGCAGTCCAGTCAACTGGTTTGCAAGCTCGTCAGGGATGCCGCCATTCACTGGAAGGATGGAACAAACTACGATTAGTATTCATGGTGAGCGACTAGCGACGTTGTGGGGCAGCTTCACCTTCAACATCTGCTTCAAATGGCGTCAGGCAGTTGATGCTTTGTTGTCTAGGAGTATTTCACCTTTTGGAGATGGTGAACGAGTCCTCCAGTCAGGGAAGCGGCTAATGGTGCTCCTGGAGAGTCGAAATGGGGCAGGTGGAGGAACAAGCACAGATGCCGATGAGTGGGGTCGGTAAAATCAAATTCTAGCGTTGACAGGAGGGAACGAAGCAGCGGGCAGGGTTGTGTTTCCATTTGGCCGAAGCTGTACAATAGCCCATGCCAAATGATCAGGACCATGTCTCGGCGGGAAGCGAAGTGAGGCAAAAATTATTGACAAAATTTGCCGACATTGGTTGAATTGCGTGAACCTTCGGAAATTGTAACAGAATTAAGTGCTTCATTGCTTCGCCCTAGGGTGTCAGGCACAACGACGATGGAACTGCTTAATCGCGCAACCCACACGTCAACCAACTCTAGGTCTTGCACTGAGTCTATGTGGCGAGAGTAGAATCGACTCGCTGCTACCAATTCCCCCAGGGGTTACCAGCCCTGCATGCTCCTTCCTTCACGTGGAGCGCATTTAGCCATCCAACCTTTCTGTCCCACATCAGTTTGTTTCACGACGCCAAATAGTGGCGAAGAGCAGCAACCTCGTCCTTCAAGTCGTATGCCAATATGCAATTTCACAAACCGTCGATCACCACCGTTCTCAGCTTGTTTACATGACCCTGCACCTGCGGAGGTCAAGTATAGGGAAAATTGCCTTTCCAACTTCGCTAGAACCTCAATTTCCAAATCGTGGTGATGGCTTCCCCTTTCTAATTTTCTTTCAAGCCTGTATACACAAGTACAAGTGAAATAAAAAGCGGTGCCAGTGAGGGACACTCTCCGGTGTGGAGTGCGGTAGTACGCACTCCGTGGTACTACGGAGTACAGCAATGGGCACACTGTCTCCAGTGGATGATGAAGAAAGCAAACTGCTCCAAAGATAGAGGCTTGCAAAATGTGCAACCACTGCGAACTGAGAGTCATTCACGTGGGTGGGGTATCCGTACCCACAACACGAAAAAGCGAACGCAAGATATGTTTCCATTTCCATACAACGTTGGAGGAAATGGCTGCAATTAATGCAATGCAAAATGCACTTGTGGAGTTGGTCACTGCAACGGCAAAACCCATCAACTGGGAACAAAGCGGCAACACTTAATGCAAATTTATGTAATTTTTTATTCACGAACCTTTTATGATACTGGAAACAAATACAAGTCCTTGATACAGAAGGCAATACAGAACGCACGCAGATCATAATATAAACAAAATTAACTCTACTTTTTGGAATGGCAGTAACTTGAGGACAAACGCAGCTTCTATTCGTAACTAAGCACGTGTTTTATAAAGGGAGGAAGAGAGCAGCATAATAATGGCAGTAATGCATAACAGTTAGGCAGCTTCAAGCCGTGGCTGACACGAGAATATCACGAGAAACGTATCCTGTCGGTCGTCTCCGTTGGTTGTAAATACTGCGAGTTGCCGACTGACCAAAGGTCTCAATATTGAGCTGGCGTTCAAGGCGGGCATGAGACATGATACCAGTGTGCCCAGGTCGGTTGGATCCTCCTTGCCCACGGCTTTTATCCTGTTTGAGACGTCCACGCTCACCTTTTCCACTGCCGACTGGACCTCGAGGACCACCCTCGGAGCGACTTATCTGGTCGAAGAAACACTTTTCCCGAACATAAAACTCACCCCTACAGTTTAATTGATTTCATAATCAAAGTATTGCTCAAATTGTTGTCGTAAACACGCATCAAAACTGATTTTTACCTTGACAAACTCTGAAAACCATTGGTATTTGTCGAAGATTCTGCCCCAGTGTTCACAATACCTGTAGAGGAGTCACCCGATGCGCCGCTGTCAGATGTCTTGCCGTTATAATTAATACCAGTTTCGTTTGAGAGGCTACCAACTTGCCTGTCACCGGAGCTTGGAGTATTTTGACCGTCTGCACATTCGGAATTTAAATTTATTTTGGCAAGTTCTACTTTGAGCTCTTCATTGGCAGTTTCAAAGTCATAGGGTTTGCTACAATCGACCTCTGCAAGGAAAAAACGAGTTAACTGGAGTGCTTTGCAATGTCGCGAGTTAGAATTTACGCACTAGAAATACAAAGAAATACCTGAGTCAGCCTGCTGGTTTGAAACGCCGCGAGCGGGTCCATTTCGACGTTCATAATTTCGTCTCCTTGCACCATTGCGTGGTCCTTTAAAGTTTGATTGCGGTATTATATTCAAACCGTTTGACCGGTACAAAGACGTTAAATCGGGCGGCAAATACAAAAGCAAACCACCATTTCTGGTAGGCTGTGTATAAGGCGCTCTGCTTCTACTACTACGCGGGCCGAGTCTGCGAGCGAAACGATTTTCCATTGGTGCCTCCCGAATTGGAACAGAGAACCGGCCACGAGTGGAAACTGGTGCTGGAACCGAAGCTGTATTATAAACTATGTAGGCCTGACGCGGAGTATCGGTATTTCTACCGCGGCGAGGATTGCCTGTGGGTGGTAGCGGCCTACGATTGGGCCTTCTCTCCTTATTGTTTTCTTGGGTCGGGTTGGTGGCAGCTGTTCCATTATCGCGATTTACAATCTAAATTTTAATAGTGATTAGTAAGAGCACGGAATAGAAAATAGCGAAAAAGTCATTTAAAACACTTACCATAGGTTTAGCAGGTGAAGTATTCTTCTCGGCACCACTGGCCTCTTTGACTGCGATATCCCCAATTTCACTATTCACTTTGGCCTCATTGAGGACCGATATTTTCTTGATATTTGTTAGCCAAAAAGTTATAGACTCAAAACGAGTGCCAATTGAAGGGAATTTGGGTGTTTCATCTTTGTCCGCGCCAGTTTCATTAACTTGACCATCTTTTCCCATAAACTTCACATTTTTAAGTGTGATGGTCATATCCGCCGAGTTGAAGGCAATGACGACGCCCTCATACTTGTACTGCACACTTGTCACGAGGCGCACAGTCGAGCCCATGGTGATTGTGCTGAATTGTGATTGTCGTCGAAGTTCTCTCTCCATAGCGAGTCACGAAAAAAAAAATAGTATTTCTTCTTTAAATATCCGATTAGCTTCTAGAGATCTTCTGAAATTCTGGTGCTAAGCTCTTGCACGAACCGTGTGATTAAGCACTCTGATCGCGTCTGCCTCTACCACCTGCGCGATTACGCGAGTTCAAATCTTTATCGATAACAGCTCACTGATCAATAAATCGATAAGGCGCATATTGCGAGCCGATTGGTCGGCGTGAGTTCACCTCGTCGACTTGAGCGCAAAACGAGCGCGGCTCAGAGGTTGAGGCGTGTTTGCGGTGACAAATTTTAAGTCAAAAAGTTTTCATTTTTAAGGGTGAAAAATAATCTTATTTTCTGGGAAAAATCCTTTTTAGGTCATCACTGGATTTGCGGTCAGCAGTTTATTAGCACATGAAATTTAGGGTTTTACAAAGTGTTCTATGGCAATAGAGAGATGCCATAGATTTGGCCTGCAGGGAAAAGATACTCTATTAATAAAGCATACTCTAACTATTCAGGGATAAGGGCGTTGGTGAGTACTTTAATTTAGCGGCTTATCTCTTAAATACATAGGTTCTGTAGAGAATGCTTAAGCAGATAAACTTAAACCGCATACAGCTCTGAAACGCCCATCTCAAAACAACAAATCACACGCTTCCCAGAGCAAAACTAGTGGGATGAATTAAGTCTCAATATTACTAACAGAACAGACAAGTACCTAGCCCACCGCCTTGGCACACCACAGCCCAAGCGACATAGAATCCGACCAACAGAACCTCATCCCATCCCCCTCAAAATCACTAGGCGGAATTTCATTATAGAACCTAAGCTTAAGATGGCAGAGCTTCAATTGGCTGACCCCACCACGTGTAACTCAACCATAATCCCACAAAACGCTCCAAAACACTCCACCATGTGCTGACGTTATCAAATGAATTATGTACAAACCATATAAACAGGAACAAGACAAGACTCGATTAAGACTGAGCAGCAGTCAGCTGGTTGACCATGGCTTCAAAGAGGTCACGAGCTCGTGAACAGAGCTGCCCGTGGGGATCGAGATCGGTAGTAAGTGCCAGCAGCTGGGAGGATGGAAAGGAGGCTTTATCACCGGTGAAGGCAGAACCGGGACGGCCGCAGTAGACAGCGAAAACGCCGGGTACACGGCTATTATCACCCTTTTCCTTCTTGATGCGCTTCGCGTCTGAAGGCGCACTGACGGCTGGATGAGCGATATCGACTGCGACCATTGCGGCTGTAAGGAGAAGGCATGATATGCCCAATATACTCTGATCTAACAAAGATGGGCAATTGATAGAAGCTGAGAGCCTTACGTCGCGAGTCAGGGTCAATTTCAGAGCTGCAAACCGCCACTACTGAGGCCTGAAGAGGAATTGAAGTTGGCAAAAGGGCCAGAGAGAGGGCATTAACGCAAGCTGCCATGGTAGCTGGATGTCCAGACACTCCAGAAATGATTTGAATTCGGACAATGAACTAAAGTGAAACCGATATAATATGGGTGATTACCGGGTTTAGCAAAGGAAACAATTCATTTCAAACCAATGACAGATTAAAGCAAATTAGCAAAAAAGAAAAAGATTAGTCATTGATCTTAAGGAAATATCACCACCTCAAGATTGTTCACTGAGGAATACAAAACATGAAGTGAATATATCGAAGTCCTAACGGGTATATGGATAATGAATTACATAAAGAGCAAGCGCATAACGCATGGAATGAGGTACAACATCAAATACGATGAAAAACCTAAAAACTAACCTGGTTTCTTGGATAGACCTTAACATCAATTAGCCTCTCCAAAAACTGTTGTAGATAAAACTCCATTTCGCTTTCGAAAGGAGTGTGAAGACCAGACGCAGGTAGGACAGAGACATCAATATAAGCTCGATGTGTTAATTCATTCGCCATACTAGCTTCCTTGGGACCGTAAACCGAAGCCATTACGTGAGCACCTCCGAAAGCCCAGGAGGCGGAGCCTGTCGCATTGCAGTCAGAATTACATTCGACAAAAAGATTCGACTCTTGCATTCGGAAACCACACGCCTTTCAGTGAGGTAAAAAGACCCTGCACCAACGGACTTGACCCTGACGAGATGTGAAACTATTCCAGAAAGTAAGGGCTTTGAGAAATTTTTATAGCTAAGTGAAAAAAAAATTAAAATCGTGAAAAACTCAACCTCCGGGCAATTTAAAACTGCTGCATCATGCCATTGCTACTTACTTATTTTTTAACAGATTCACGTGTGCTGAGTCTAAGAAGTTGTTTTAAAGCTTTAGTCCTTGTGAGGCGAAACAATTATTTTACTGCCATAGGTTCAACTTGCTATTCTTCTTGTAGCAAAGATAAATATGTTTTATAGTTAGGAACAGTCAAATTTATCACGGATTGTTTTATTAATAAATCAAAAAATCCCATAAACATTCATATTTGCTTTGCTGACTTCTAGCTGTTTTGCCTGTATTCCGAGAGGCACCAATTAACCAATCAGAATGGCAAATAAAACGGTACTAATTTAAAATTTATTTGGTTATGTTCCGCGCACCCCTTCATGCGAGGGCTGAGGATTCCGATCCCCACAATATCCACGAAAAGATTTTGCTGGCTGCTAGGAGGTCAGGTGTCATATCTTTAAACGGCCGTGGACTTTCCTATGGTAACGTTTGATTTGTTTTCTTGATTTTGTTGCGACTTTGGTTTCCTCTTTTGTACCTAAAGTAGTACTTAATTCTTGAGTAAAAACCGTTTCCACCCTCGAAATATTTTGCTGATGTGTACGGATTAAAGCACTCTTGGGACCATTTTTGTTTCTTTCTACGCGTGCTGGAAATTTTGAGAAAGTGTTGGTAATCTTATTTTGTTCAGCCAATTTAGCTTATTTCTCGTAATGTCGCCTCAGTTTTTCTAGGATGTATATTTGTAGTACTTTATCAGATACAAAGGTTATCGAATGTTCCCTCTTTTTTTAGTCCCACCAGTTATCTGGACGTTGAACAAACACTTTTCAGAGGAGAAGCCCATCAGTTTCGAATCAGCTAGTGATGACGATATTAAATGGTGGGAGGCTGAACCCATCACTCGACTCAATTTATTTGGTAATTCCATAAAAGAACTGCCTGGAGACGGTATCTCTCAGTTAGACAGTCTCGTAAACATAGATGTAAGTTACCTCATTAGATTTAATTGAATGGACTAGTTTAATCCAAGTCGGGAGACAAGGAATCAATTACTCATCGTTGGTGCATGTTATTCAGTCTCATACTTGTACCTTCTTTTTATTAACTTTAAGGACGAATAGCATTGTATGAAAGGGCTAGGGATTTATAATTACGGTTGGTGCTATATGAGGCTCGTGAACTTATCTTGGGAGTCAAAGGTTGAAATTCATTGTGCTTTTTAAACACTATCTACATAGCACCATATGATGTTGTGACCAAGTGTGGTTATTTTTTTCCTTGCTGTAGATTCGCGACAACGAATTGACTGGTTTGCCCGAAGAAGTAGCAGCGTTAGTGAATTTAAAACAGCTTCTATTGAGGTAAGTTAATCGTTGTCTTCAATCCCATTTTATACCCGCTAAAATATCTAATAAGATATCATGGGTTGAGTAGCATTTGATATATTAGGATTTCCTTTCATGTACTGGCACGCTTTTAAATTTGGTGCCAGTTTTAATTTTGCACAACTACATTTCTTTCTCAGTGTTTTTAATCTTCAATTCATAAAGACTGTTATTCATGTCCACTCTGTACTTTGCATGCCAACTGTGGGTAATTTGGGTTGCGTTAGATACGATTGAACAATCGCGAGCTTTCTTTGGTGTTCGCGTAACCAGGCGTCAGGTGCACTGTAAATTATTCCTAGTTTACCTTTTAAATCAAGGTGATGCCTTCAAACGTAGTGGCTAAAAAGTGCCTCGGGTCTTGTTTTAGCATAAATTTCTTACTTCTAGTCCCCGTGATTTTATTACCAAAGTTTATCTCAGGCAAAGCGACCACCACCGCCTGCAAAAGCTGTTTTTGTTATGGCATGATGATCTTCAGACGAAGGGCATGCTACATCCATTGCACTGTTTTTGGCTCAATCAATCTGTTTGCAGTGCACGATTTGATGCAGAACAAGTGCCGCATAGATGTGACGCTGGCGGCGAGCGCGTTAAAAGTGAGAAGACAATTAAAATCTCGTCCTCGTGTCTATCTCAGCGGCCTTCATAAGTTCTTGTTGTATGTCATCACGTGTTTTAGGCAAAACTCATGTGATTTGCATTGTATGTATGATACAAATGTTACGTTTCGAATCAATCAAAGGACCTGGTGAGTGATGACATGTATGGTAGGTCATGTCGCCAGGATGGTGATATGACTTGTGAATGTCGAAGAGCCTGCATTTGTAAATTTGCATCTAAGCAAGTATCACTTACCAACGCGGGCATGCAAATCCTACAAATGGCTGCCATTATTTAAAAAGTACAAAACTCGAATTAATTGGTCAGATTTGAGTTGACAAGTTTCCCTGATAAATGAGTTGTCTAAAACCTGCCAAACTAAAGTGAAGCTAGGCCCCTCTACTGTAGGCGTGTTCAAAAGCTTCTCTCGTTTAAACTAGGCTGCTCATTTCCTCTTCGCAATACAGTTTGCAATTCGGTTGATAGGCATAGTTAATAATAATTATGAAACATTGCCGCCTTCAAATGTAACTTCAGGTCTAAGCAGTCATTTAAATGCTACCCAAAGCAGTTTTTTTAGGATGTTCTACTTTTTGTAGACGTATTTCGCAACTTTGCTGATAACACGCATTTCAGATAGCTTTCTTTCATGCCCGTCCACAGTTCGTGCACCTTGAGTAGGGATGTTCATTTAATGGATTTCCGTATTCAAATCAGGTTGTTTCTTCCCATCCAAGTTGCAATTTAGATCCAACATCTCGAAAAAATGGTGCAAATTTGTGGGGATGCGGGGGCAGAAATTAAAATGCAGTTTCAACTTTCCACTGAATGTCTTAAAATTTGGAGGATTTGCTATACCTGCCTTTCGCTAGCCATCATTATTTGGGACTCACGGTCTCAATCTATTGCTAATCAAAAGTGCTGCCTCCTTTTGTGTTAGTCATAAAACAACCGCGTTTTCCATAAATGAGTCTACTTTTGACTAAAATTGAGGTTGGATCCTGCGGTGGTCTGTTTTGCATGCTCCCTACTAGGGGGTACAGCCAGAAAAGACACTTTGTTTACAATTATGTTGCTCAAAAATGTTGCCCCTCATCAGTTTTTACTGTTTTGCACTACGATCAACTGGTGCAGTCAGTTAAATCCTAAACTGGTACATAACACGCAACACATGTGTGAACGTGTTCATCATCCTGATGATGTAACAAATTGATCAAGGGTCACCCTTCCTGAAGAGTGTAATGTCCACGTTGCCCCAGGAGAAGTGACAAAACTCGCAATCTCCCAACCGAATTCATTAAGGGACGTGCTTGAGAGCTAGGGATTTCTTCAAGTTGGAGATGAATCTCCGGAAAGTGAAAACAAAAATCGGCATTCCACTAGACTTCATGTTCTTGAAAATCTCATCACTAATTTTGTATTAGGCCAAATTGTGGAGTCACTGTTCATTCCTTTGGTTATTAGTTTTGCATCTAGGAGTCCGAAGCTTGTCAACTGTATAGAGTGGCTTGTGTCACTACATTTGAAAAGTTGCACTTATTGGGGGAGAAGTGCTAAAACTTCCTTGCCACTTTGATGTAGTACCGAACCGAAACTCTTTGAACTTCAGTTTATGGCTCCAGAAAGGCGGAGATCGCATGTGGGCGTTGGGCTTAAACGGAATCCTATAGGGTGCTTTGAATCCGAAAAGTATGAGGATGGTTTGGACTCAGATTCTCCCCCCCCCCCCTCTCCATTTCGCTCTTCTCTTTATCGAAAAGACTTTACTGCAATCAAAGCTTTTTAGTTATCAACAGATTCTTACAGGTCATTGAAGTTCAACCGGGACTTGCTTTCATGAGTGTAAGAGAGGATGTCGCAGTGGCGGTGCTGTATCCAGTTGGAAATAGCAAGTCCCCTACCATTTTTCGTGATGGTCGGTGTATATGTTGTGGATCAGTCCATATTACCGCAAACTAAGGTGGTAGAGAACGGTGGAGGTGTGTCGGTGTGAGCCAACGTGTCGCCTCTTACAAATGGAAGCAACAAACGCGAACCTGTGGATGTCTGGGAAAGACTTCAAGCGCAGTTTGTGTGCTGGTGGTGGGACAATCATCTGCTCAGTAGTAAGACATTAGACTGATGCGATGGCCTCATAGCTGGGTGTGCGTACCTCACGTTGTGAACACTCCAACCGCGATTTTTCTCTTTCGGTTCGCAGCCTCGGGAATAATTCCTGTAGCCTTCATTCTGCGCGTTGAATGCTCGATTTTGAAGGTCTAATCGAACTATGGTCTGTGTGCGAGGTAATTGTGTACAGTCATCGGAATTGTGTACGAACACTCGAGATTTGGAAAATCTAACTCCCTTTGGGCACCGACACAAGTAGGCGAATCATTGGTGGTGGAAAATCTATCTCCACTGAAATCTTGCGGGTGATGGTTGAGCGCTGTGGTGGATGTGAAAGAGCAGAAAGGCACTGTGTTGAAAGGGGATTCGGTTTTCACTTTTGAAATTCGTTGAACAAATTTTGAAGCTCTCTTTTGCATGTACGAAGTCTTTAACTGTGGTTTACACTTTTCCTCCCTCCCGTCCACTAAAGCTCGAACCAAATCACCACGCTACCAAAGACCTTCACACAGTTGACGACTCTAGTGCTGTTGGATTTGGCGCACAACCGTCTCACCGCATTACCTGATGATATGGAAAATCTCACAGCGTTGGAGAAACTCGTATGTATCATTGAAGCTTTCATTTCTTTGCTCGCCTTTGAATAGTTGACAACTCTACTACAGAAAAATTTATTTTGCGAAGCGATATTTTATCACATCTGGCTGTTTTCCGTTTGGAAAGTTCCTTATCCCTCTTTTGGTTGTCGGTATCGTGGTAATCTTTTATGCTCCCTTTGTAAATAAGGTATGGGTAGGTCACTGTAAATAAATGGGATTTTGCGTAACTGTCACTGTACGATTGTTCGTTTTCCCCAGCCTACTAAAAGGTTTTTCTGCGAAATTACAAATTAAAGTGGGTCCCGATCCATTTGACCTTGGCTAAACCACCGAGGACGGATTATTTTTGTTGACGCCAATTGAGGAATGTTTAAATATTCAAGTTCCACGTCCCAGTAGATTCATTCGTCGAAGTTGTCTACTGCAAGAACATTTGCTACGGCACATTTCCCTTGAATTCAAACCTAGACGTCAATATACCGGTTCAGTGCAAGTAAGCTTGCAGGTCTTAACCGAGACTCTTTTCTCTTTTCGCCTCTCCCTCTCAAGGACGTCTCAGATAACCAACTGAGCCAAGTTTCACCCAACCTACCTCCTGCACTGATCAGTTTAAATCTCAGCAGAAATCGGTTAATTCGTCTTCCTCAAGGGTGGATCCAATCTTGTCCAGGTGCGTTTGCAAATTCCATCCTCTGCTTCATTTCTCTTTCTCGAATGACGCAGCCAAAGCACCCTTGTTTTATTAAAAAAAACTTGATGACTAGGCTTCTAGCGTAGACAGGGAGGGAGATATATTGGTAGGCAAATTTGGAATAAATGTGTACCTTTGGCAAACATATCCAAAATGTGAACTTTCAACTACTCATTTTCTCAAAACTGTACTGGTCAATTAATCCGCTGCTAACTTCTGCGCATCAACCAAAGCTATTTTTCCCTTAAACGTTCCCTCTAGCGATCATCTCATATCTGCGTCGTGGAATTTTATACATTATTTAACAATTTTGTCATTTCCTTCTAAAATATAGGGCCTGTTTTCGAATATTAGATTCATTAACTGCCCCTTCGTCTGCATCCTTCCCCCTATCTCTCTAGTGTTACGCGAATTCAATGCCTCCGACAACGACCTCGAAGATGTTGGCATCACCGAGGACCCAAAGCTACTCACTCTTACCATTCTAACTCTTCACAAAAATCATCTTTGTACAATACCCCTACTCAGGGCCTTTCCACGCCTCAAAGACGTATCTCTTGGTGACAACCGAATCGATTCTTTCAATTTGGAGCCTTTCCAAGGCCTTCACGATTTAGCCACCCTTGAACTCAGTCGAAATCGTATTGCAGCTGTGCCAGACGGCATTCCGAAGGCCCTACCTGCTCTGGCTCGATTGGACCTCTCCAGTAACGAAATCAAGAGGTGGAACATAGGATAACATCTTCTGATATTGCCATATGTAGGACTTTAACCCCACATTTCTGTGCAATTTCAGCATTCCAACTGAATTGGGTTTTATGGAGTCCCTAAATGTACTAGTTCTGGGTGCCAATCCACTTCGAAGCCTTGGACTAAATGTCATAAATTCAGGCACAGAGGCTGTAAAGGCATTGCTAAGGGAGCGTCACAGGCCAGAAGGCATTCAAGTACCCAAAAAAGAATCTTTGACAGCTCCTTGTGACAATGAGACAGCAGTGTCCACAAATCCCTACGATCACCTACCGGCTGTGGTCGCAGGCTCCGGTGTTCTTGACTGGGGACGACGAGGGAAAAAGCAAACCGGTGGACATCGATTCGGTGCGCCTACAGAAGATGAATATGACAAACTGCCACCGCTGGATGACCAGGAGGTGTGGAGGGCAGTGGCGCTCAGGGGGCGTGATGTGGACGTTGCAGTAAAGAAGATAATTCTCTCCAATCGTGGGATTGAAACCTTCCCTATGGGGTGAGTGGACGGTAGCATTGTTTGCTTGGTATTGTACATTTGTGGGTCTTGTTTTGGCCGAAGGCTGAATTAGCTTCAGTTTCCAGGAATGTGAAAAACTAGTTTTTTTTTCCTATGGATCCCTTAAATGAAGTCAATTTTGTTTTTGGTCCAGTTGCAAATGCCTTTTTGTTGAGTGCAGGACCGGTAGATAGTCAAAAACGTTTTTTTGTCTGTGCCGTTTAGTTGTTCTTTAGGACTTTGTATGGTCTACCAACATATAATTGGATTTGTTGACGGTATACTGAAGGGTTGAGGACTGATGATAACCGTAACCATGACATTGGTGAAGTATGGAACTCGGACACATTATTTTCATCACTTTCAGTATTATGGCCTTTCAAGATTCTCTGGCAGTTCTGGATCTTTCCTACAATAAGCTTTCACAACTTCCAAATGAAATTAGCTGTCTTTCAAGGCTGGAAATACTCAGCCTAAGGTGAGTCCGCACAACTACATTTTTTGGGTCGACTGCTTAAATATCCCAGTAAAAAGAATCCTTTTCCTTATTCACAGTAACAATGTACTCACTTCGCTTCCAATGAGCCTGTCCAAACTCTCAGCACTAGCAACGCTCGTTTTGGATTTTAATCCAGGGCTGGGACCTGAACTACCTTTAGAAATCCTCTTTGTTGAGCCGCTTTGTCGGAGTCTGCAAGAAATATCAGCTCGTAGCTGTCGATTGACACGTCTACCACCGGCTTTGGTGGTTTCTGTTGACCGGATGCCACAACTACACACGCTGAATGTCTCCGACAATGATATTGGCGCTCTTGAACCGGAGCTGGGTCTTTGCACACAGATTCAGTAAGTCGGTGTAAAATGCTTACTTATCAAATTTAAGTAGGCTTAATTTCTTACTAATGGACGTTGTGATGTAACGAGACGACTTCATGCATTTTCATTTATTAAGCCGGATTTGTATTGCTGTGGCATTGGCCGAATGTGGTTTTATCGCTCATTTTTTACTGAAGCCTTGGAATCTTTCAGGAAGTGGAAATTTCGTGCATTTTTCGACATAGTCAACTGATGCTACATTTATGTAGTTGTTGGTATGTTTGGCTCATAGCTGGGAAGGACTTTCAACATGGAAATATTTATCAGTATCCTGAGACAGCCTGCCCTGCTTTTTTATCGAAGTTTTTGTGAGCCCCGACTCTTGAATTCACGAGTGATTGTGTAGGGATCGCCGCCACCATAGAATCACATCACAGGTTAGGTGATGTATTTCTTGTCCTTCCAAAATCGGGTCCTTTACTGACTAAACGAACGTTGACAGGGATGTTTACCGAATCACTACCACCAGATTCGACACTGGGTGACACACGCACGACTGTTTTCGGGAAGCTAACTCTATTCAAATGTAGTATAGTTGGTCTGCTGACCGTCCAATCACTGTATCGTACTGCAGATATTCATGCGTCCGAGTTGCGCAACTCTTTTCATAAATGGACTCTTCTCTCCAAACATCTCACCCTTTCGGTTGTTTATTCTCCATTTGTCAAGAGTAGGAAGTATAATGCTTTACTAAACCCGAAAAATGACCTGTTTCACGATGTGAGTTTGAAAGATTTACCCTAAATCTTATCTCAAAAACAATTTTATGAAAGACATTAATGGCATGGGAAAATTCCCGTGCATTATAGATGCAGGTAGAGCCCTTTTTCGTTTGGATACGAAGTGGCTTAATTCAAATGGCTATTCTTTAGTTACAAAATGCGTACCTACCGCTCCCACTTGATTTCAACGAGCTTATTTGGAGAGCATACAGCTATTCGGGCATATCCATTTTGACCAGTTGGCGCGGGTGCCTGCAGCATGAGCGCACTTGCGGGTTGGCCATTTTCTCACTGAAAATGGCCAGTCTAGTTTGCCAGTATCGTGGAGATGTGGTCATGGGCATCTGCCTAAGTAAACGATTTACATGGCAAGTAGCATCTCGTCTGGCTGCCTTGTCCTTCTATTATCTAAATCAGCCCTTGTGAACTACCCACGATATCAATTTCAACTGAGGATGTGCCATTTCTTCTCTAAAGTTGAGCTGGCTCAAATTACACTCACTGAATTACCAACAGAAAAGCCTTCCTTACTAAATCGGCGGTCCGGCTAGCAAGACCCGGCGGTTCAACAGTGCGAATGCTGATTAAGTGTTTTAGAAAGCATATTTGATTCAGTCTCTTATGTTACATTTCAAATCTGTTTAATGAAAAATGCAGCCGTTTTTGCACAAACTTGATTTGCCAGAACATGAGCGATGCATCAATTATGTTCTGCCTGACAAACCGGTAATCAAGTTCTCCTACTCAGTGTGCTTTGCCATCGTTTGAATTTGATTGGAAGCCGCGCTTACGATTGGATCACGTGCGCTGACAATGTCAGCAAAAAATGCCGACATTGCAAGCTTCGATTAATGACCGAAGGCTATTTCCCATTGTTTAATTTTTGCGTGCATTTTACAACCACTTCAAGATGATGACGTCAGAATGCGGGTTCTAAACTAGATTGGACAAGATCCTGAGGTCATTCTACAAACTTTAACACCAGAATGTCTGTGCTTGCTGAATTTGAAGTCTTACGCGAAGTTAATCCGAAAAGGGGTCATATGTAGCGAAGGCAGGTGGAAACCATCCTCATCTTGCAAGAGGTGTGTTGATTGACACTGTGGGGTTTTGCGCCTCCAGCGATTGTCTTTGTTTCAGATGCTTTCAAATCAGCTCCTGGGAAGTAGGCTGTTACGGCAAAAATCATTGAGGTACAACTAGCTGTCGAGTATCCACCCAATCGCAAGTCTTGGAAGCGCTCAAAGACACACTATCACTGGCAGGACGTGTGTATCGGAGTGCACTAATCCGGAACCTGTTTACCTTCAGTTGAATGCAATTTCGAACATTGTTGAAGTCTTTCATAAGACATGGAAGCACGTTGAATCACAAGCAAAGCGCTGCACCAAGTAGGTGGCCTGTAGTGCTTGGAGCGAATTGCTAAAAATCTTTGGTGAATCAGATTGCGCAGTTGATTTGATTGGTGTGTCGGTAACCAAGGTCTTTGGGTGGACTGTTAAACAAGGACGCAGTCGTTGCAGCCACATAGTCAGCAGTTGCCAGAGGTGTGTTTGCACAAACCTTTGGACTGCGCTCGAAATTTGAGACAATACTTTTTTTGGAAACCGGGAGTAAAACTGGTACAGCGGTGGCCCTTACGGAGACTGAAACCGAACGACCTTGGGGAAGTTGGTGTCATCAAGCCAGTGGTTGGATGAATCCACATTCATGTATAAAATCTCTCAGCAGGGCTGGAGGCCACCTTTGAAACGCACTACCATTACGGTAGACATTTTTGGGGAAACTTAAAGAAGGTAAATTTTTTTGTCAAGCCCAACCTTGAGTCCCCGTTGAAATTGAGTCAAAGGGACTGCTGACTATCAATACATACAAGAGATTGTTTTGGTACAAACTACTGGCTTTGAGGTCAAGACCGCCCCTGTTATGTCATGTTGACTGATATATCCATCTAGATAGTGCGATTGTGAAGGGATCAGCTAAACCGATTGGGTGGACACGGTTTTTGGGTTCAGGTATTGTCAGTATGCCAACGATCAAGGTTTTTTGGAAAACATATTTTCCGAGTGTCTTTTTACCATACAACAGCAATGGAGCTAATCACCCACTTAAATAGTTGGCATTTTTGGCAAGGCAGAACTTTCTCTTTTGACATTTGATCATTTTCCCCATCAAGCACTCAAAGAAGAACGATACCACCCTCTTTCCTTTAATACTCTCTTGCACCTCACTCGTAATCCTTATTTTTTCCTTTTATCCTTTTCTGCTCCTTTTAGAAATCTCCATGTTACCGGCAACACTTTCAGAGTTCCACGGCCTGCGATTGTTGCCAAGGGAACAGCGACAATTTTGGAGTACTTGCGTTCGAGGATCGCTGAGTAGGCTATATTTTCTTCTTTCCTTTCTTGCTTCCTTTTCTCAGCTGCAGAAATATTGGTTCAATAGATTGTACCTCTTCAGGGTCGTATTATTATTTTTATCAAGTTTTGGGAAAATGAGAAGATCTATGACTTTTCGCCGATGCAAATTTGTTGTTGTGAATCTCTTGCCCCTTGTTGTCCTCTGAGTTGACGTGTTGTGCATACCACTGTCACGCGCAGTAGTAGGTGACAGGCATGTCATGCGGTCACTCCCTCTGTTCAGCGCCAACATTGCGGATCAGTACGGTTCCACTTTTCCTCATTGTGCCTCTCAGCCCTTCTGTGCGATAAGTAGTGCCTTTGTCCTTACTCCTGCCATCAGGGTTGTAGAAGTGAAGCTTTTTCCATAATGCATTAAGCCTTGTCCCCTGGATTGTGAAAAAAACCTTCTAAATCTTTGTGCTTGGTGGAAAGGCTAAGAGATGAAGAGGATTGATTATCTAGTATCTGGACCCATTCCATTGTTTTCTCTTTCTCACGTGAGACGTGTTTTTGTGAATGAACCTGAATCCCGCATGTCCAAAATGTTAATCTGGGTATCATGTGAACAATTTTTTGGTACAGATTGACATTGTGTGTGTGCGTGTGCAGAAGCACAGATTCCTTCGACCTTACCGTCGGAATAATCGAAATGACAACAATTTCAATATGGGGTCTTTGTTTCCAACCCGTGCACGCAATTCCTGCGTGCAGTGTGTCCGCTGGTGGATGTTGGCCGGAAGGTGGCATGGAAGAACACCATTATGGCGCATTTTCGGGTCTCGGACACATTGGCATTTTATCTGTACCTGATAATGACCAATGAGACGAATTGACAGAGGAAGTCAACTGCGGGACGTTCTGGAAGGTTTGGAAGAAGGCGCGATACAGATGACTTCCAGAATATCGGAATGGGGACGCTTTCTGCGGGGCCGTTGACATCCTGTTGGCACTTCAAGCAAGGCCACCCGTGTTTACAAAATTGTAGCCTAAAGTGGGAAAAATATATTCAGAAGTAGGGAAAATTTGACACTGTTCCACAATTCAGGACTTCTTTTTGCAATTCTCACAAGCCCATTGCCAAGTGTGCAGTGCAGGTGAGAATATCTCCCTTTCCTCCCTTAAAAATTCTTACCAAAGTTTATGCATTTAATATTTTCTTTCTTCAAGTAGCCAAATAAATGTCTAGTATTTTTTTTATAATAAAATAAATTAGTTTCACACGCCTCGTCGTATGTCTCAGTCATAAAAATTCACCAGAGCCTCCTGTATTTCTTACTTATTTGCAATACCTTTTTTTTAAAAAAAATGCTTGTTTTAAGGAGCAAAAGCCAAAAACCTCTCCCACTAACCCCATTTCCATCCCACGTCTTGACTTCTCGTGCCCTGCTTTGCCGTGTGACGGTCTGGTAACCGCAGAATGACAGCCACGCAGAGAAAATATAAAATTAAGACGGTTATGGAGAATGGATATGAGACAGCGTCTTTTTTTGCGCATCCTAAAGTGCGTCGTTAGGTTTTCTCATAAAAAGTTTTACATCAGTTTTAGGTCTTCGCTTGTCTTATTATAAGTCTAGCGATTGCCTCCAACTGATTGCCTAGTCCTGACTTTCTCGAAGAAGTCAATTCAGCCCTCGATAGATGCGCAATTTCGGGTGAATACTTGAGTCTATTGTCTGTGGACTTGTGATGCACAATCTGGAAGTGTGGTTTGAGCAGTAGAGTAGTGGATCCCTCTTTAGTTCGCCTAAGGAGTACAGAGAAAGCGCTTTTCCTCGACGTAAGTTAGTCGGCAATCATTTTGATGCTTGTGAATGGGATCCACTTGCTCAACAGCCTTCACGACAATCTCTCCTCACTTGGTGTTGATGCAAACCAAACGCCTTTTCATATGTTAAGCATTACTGTGGTTTTTCTTTTGGGACTCACTCTCAAATCAACCTGTCATTGTCCTCCTGAAATTGCCACGTCACTGGGGGATTCATCACCGGAGTTAAGCGTCTTGAAGAATTTCTGGGAGTGCATTAAACTACCACCTATCGCACTTTGTCCAGGTGTTATGCCGTAAATCTGGCGAGAGGCCTCTGCAGCCTTGAAACCGAGGAAAGAAGTAGGCGGCTTTAAAAGGATTTCAATAGGGGGATACGGAGAGGCTGCCACATATTCATGTCTGGCAAAGCATTGTTGTGGACTGGTGTTTGCGTCCTGCCGAGGTCCTCACCGGAATTAATGAATGGGACAAAGACCTCAAGGCGGACGTCTTCAGTGCCTGCTCGTATGAGTAAGTTGAAGGTGGAGCGCTTGTATATGTGACTGTCGGCTGGCTGCAGACACAGAGTGTCGGACCAATCAAGCGGACTGAATGAAGAGGTGAGCTTCGAGATGTTCCAGGATGTTCGAGAGCTAGACATGAAAAGGGGAGATAAAGGTTTCCTGCGCCTGTCGACATCTCCAGAAGACAAAAACAGGTTCATGCATTTTTCAAGCTCCTAAATGTTACAGCAAGTCGTTGCAGCGAGGTATGCTGCGAACGGTGGGATTTCTTGACCACTTGAATCCCGGATGTAGACGATGGAATTGGTATGTCGTCACTGTTGTCTTGACTTCCAATGGTTAGGATCCAAAGAGCCCATTCTGGTTAAATTCTACCACCAGATAGGACTTTCATCATCTGTTATACCTAATGAGACAGTTGGATTAATTTTGGTAGCCAGACATCGGAGACGGTTGTCAGGTTCCTGAATCCGCAGAATATTTACGCAAGTCCATTTCCACGAAACTCTCCTCCCTCGCATGCAGGACTCCTCCACCTAGAGATGGTTAGTCGATCGTTTTTCTGATCATTTGGTTTCCAACTCCCTTGATTCGAAATTTGGAGAGCCGTCGGTGGGGATACCACCAACAAGCTTGACAGCGACATGTTGATGTCAACTGCCACTAGAGGCGATTTGGACTGAATGCAGGTCGTGAAAACTTGAATAACGCATGCTCACCTATCGAGAAGCTTACACAAGTAGCAGATAGGGCGATAGGTCAAGAAGTAGGCGTAGAAATCGGGTTACTTTATAAAAATACCACGTTAAATCAAGCGGCAATTAATTTTTGCCTGTGGTGCATACTACTTAATTCCCCAAAGGCAGTGTCACGTATTTTTTTTAAGATTTGGCGTCGCGTCGAGGTTATCGACTCCCTCACCCCCGGCATTTGAAAACTGGAACGCGCCTTACGCAACTTCTAGGAGAATTGGCATTTTCCTCTCACTTCCTCCTTGTTGGTTAGTCTAGAAAGTGTCCTTATAATCCTACTTCCAATAGCGTGGGCACTTCATTCAAGTAGTACTTGTGGGTTACCATAGCTTATCACCGCGATTGGTGTCATACATTCACGGGTAATTTCTCGACACAAAATTACTCATGCACTACACATTTCCGCAATTTTGTGGACAGTATTTCCACAGTTGTCAAAATTGTACACAGAATTTATTATTGCGACTACTGAGGTGAATACTTTTTTCCCAGTACAGGACTTGAGGTGTCCCATCGAAGTCTGCACGGCATTCTGTCAATTGTCACAATGTAGATTCGGTATATCGGCATTGCTTTCTTTGGGTAGATGTTTTCAAAGGAATTTGAGGAGGGTTCAAGTCAAATTGGGACTCGAGCTTGCTAGGAAGTGTAGGCTCTCTGGCAGGAAGATTTGTCAGTGCAGGAGAGCTGTCGTAGGACAGCCTAACCATCTTGATATCTAGCTTGTGCTTTACTTTGAGAATTCTGAGTATTGATGAATGTTTGTATCATCATTGTGCCTAGAGAAAGAACAGCTTCTTGATGTGGGTTAATCGAGCGTCCCTGACATCGAATGTTCACAGGACTGACTACTGTGATGTGGTTTGGGGCTCTCAAAGTGGGGAATATTTCACCTTCTGAAGGACTAAGTATCCCTCAGCTTTCCAGTGGGCTTGAAGTCTTCCATGAGCGTGGATATCAACGAGGAAATCCGCTCATCGTCACACGCCATTGCATGGATATGGAAACCGTGCCACCGCTACCCTCGACACCTACTACGATGCCACAGTAGTCTCCCAGGCATTGAATGTTCACAGAACTGACTGCTGTGGCCCGAGGCTCTTCAAAGCGAGGAGCAACCTAACTCCTAGAATAAATAAGTATTCCTCAGCTTT